GGTGAAAATTCCAGGGCCAGGGAAATGTGGCTCCAGGAGAAATGCCACCCCGCGGTGAAAAAGACGCATCGTGTCGCGTCGCCTCTGCGTGCTGTTGCGCGGCGGCGACGACGTCGGGTGGGCGGAGTCCGGGTTGGCTGTGAGCAGGTATTCAGGTTGTGACGACGGTCGTACTCGTCAATTAGAAAAAAACAACGTAATATAACCATGCATCACACACGGTTGATCCTTCTGATAATTGAGTTTTACTTCCGTTGAAAGAGCAGTATAGATTTTTTTCAGAATACCATCCTTCTCAGAACCTCTCTGTTATTGTTCTCAGAGATCATACTATTCTCTTAACGCCCATAATCTTGATACTGTGTTTGTTACCACAACAGTCTTAATTAAAAAGTGCGTGGAGCAGCACACTGCAAGGCGAAGCCTGTGGTACAATTAATAACTGATACCGTTTTATAACACCTACGAATAAATTAGCTCTACGTATTTTTAAACATTGTTGATAAATATATTTTTTTAAATTACGATGTCAGTAAACTGTTTTAATTGTATGAATAAGTAAGAAGACTTGTGTTTCTACACATACAGTTAATTGTGTGTCACAAGCGCAACAATCAAAAAGTCACATTCCAATTATACAATAAATATGCCACGTGTTTCACTTGCCACTAAGAAAGTGCTAAGTTTGTACCTGTAATCCGCGTCACCAGAAGATGTACCAGTTTGTAGCTCGACAAACAATTATCCGGCGGGTATAACGTAGCACTCAACGTGGTCAACATAGCGGTCACCACAACATTCTTTAAGTACTCACAACTCAGTCACAAACTATTCTGCCTTTGCGGTGGCAAGGCCACCCGTTATATACCGGTGGCTGACGCTGCCCAGACTCGCTCTCGTAGCTCATGTTCGATAGAGCGGGTAGTGACTCGCTGATCCGTGTAGTTCAGTATAGAGCGCGCGCCTCAACCTGAAAGTCAACTCGCACCTCCAATAGAAAAGTGACATAAGTGTGAAATCGTCATTTTTCAGCTAATAGCTGGTAAGAGGTTACCAAGAGGTACTGTTACTATTCTGAAGTTAATTTAGTTCTGACATAGTTCAATTACTGTCCGCTAAAAGGTGAATATTTAGTACAATCTATAACAAGTATTACAGAACTTCAAAACTTAACATTGCAACTTATAAGAAATCAGAAATTCGCACTTGTGTCACTTTTCTATTGGAGGTGCGAATTGTGCACCCACCGTTTACTGTAGGTTTGTGTATGAAATGCCGAAGAGTCAGTTTGTAAAGCAAGATAAGCCAAAATAAATTGATGCATATGAGAGAACACTGTGAGTACTCGAATACATTATTTTTGGTAAGTGTGACGAAGGGTTTTTTTTTGCCACCGTACGGAAATGTATCATATCACGCAATTTCTACTATATCATGTAAATGGTAGTCCGTCCTAACATGTGGATGTCAACTTCAAAGTTTTGAATAGGAGCGATAGGCTCATGAAACCATCACTTACATTATTTTCTGACTTACAAATATATTGGTTCAAGCTTTTAATAAAGTATTCGTTTATAATTCAACGTAAACCATTCAGAAATTTATAACTTGCTTTCATGGTATGTTTGGGCTGAATATTATAACTGTTGAAGGTTGTAAAAGAATGGAACTGCACGATTTTTCGAATGTTATTAGTCCAAAATCAAATGTTCTAAAAATACAACAGTAACATGAAACTAACAATTAAGTTAATTCAATTTGAAACCTATCATGGATAGAAATGTGACTGGTCTGGGTATGAAAACCGTGAAGGGATACTTTTTTGAGTAAAATGGATATCATGCAGGGTTCGAAAACGTTTCTTTCGCGTTTGCGGTGCGAACAATATTTCTTTGTGCACTTGCTTCTACCTAAAAATACTACACACTTTTGCCTAAATTTAATGTTTGCAATTCATATCATCCTAATGCAAGGACGGGACACAGCTAGAAGGCTCATAAAGAGCTGTTGTGTCAAAGTACTAATATCATAATTATTATTCATAATGAAGCAGCCCTCGTATTGTCGTCAGGAAGATCACGAACTGAGAAGATAGATGAAGTTGGCCATATTGTCACTACAATCGCAGTCACAAAAGATGCAAAGAACGTCGTTTCATTTTCCAGATTTTCTAATACTATAATAATGGAATTTGTAATAATAGAATTTACTTAAAATTTCTTTTATCAGTCTATGCCGAGAAATTTCTAGTTCCAACTACTACGTTTTATACAAATAATTCCGTCAAATAAAACTTCAGAGGTAAGTGTGCAAAAAGAAAAATAGTTTGCTGAAAAGTTATGTAGAAACAGATAAAGATTAAAAATACTTGTGTGAAAGTATATAAAATAATTAAATCGTGTTTTAAGTAAAGAGGAATTCATCACAATCGTAAGGTAAAGAGAAAGTACAAAAAAGCGGTTGCACTTGTACGAGTATTTATTAATAGTACATTATGATGTAACGATAGGTATTAATTCCCGTGTGTGATATTACGATACGAAACAATATCGTATACTTCACTGTATTAATACCATTACATCGAGTTGCACAGGTACTTATTCTACGACTTATGGTAACTTTTATAACAAACTTTTATATTGAATCGTTTCGATGCAGTTTACACGCAGGATTCAACCAAAGCAATATAGTGGACAGCTACTGTACGCTGCCGCGAGAGAGAACACAAGTTGCGGCAATAATTCCGAAGTAATTTGCGCTTTTTCTCACATTTATGGAGGTGCCAACTCATCTCCTGAATCACTCAACATTTTAAACTGAAGAACTGGCTGGTTTTTACGGGAAACCACACAGCAGCAACATGTAACCTAAAGCGACTTGCGCTCTGATCTTTAAGTCAGTCAAATGTTCCTTCCAATAGCGCTAGTCAAATACGATTAAAATGACAAAATCACGTGAAGTTACGATCCAATTTATTTTAAATAATATTTCATGTAAAAATTACTTATAATAAAATAAATTACAACTGACAAACTTAATATATTATTAAATGCGATTGTAATGTACACAATCTAACACCTTTACTGGATCGATTCTCAATGATTGATGAAGGATCACTACTTAATTTTTAAGCTACTCTGTGATAAGTCAAGAACCTGAATGATAATGAAATCTGCATCGTAATGAATGTCATTATGCATGGGGTTGCAGCTACAAATGACAGAATTATACAATGGGAGTAGAAAAAGGAATATGCAGAGACCACTTAAAAAACTACATTCAGAAATATGAACGTGCTATCACTTCGCTTGATTGATAAGCTAAGTACACAATTTCAAATAGAGAACGTTCATGTAGCGATAGGAAAGCTCCAACAAATCAGATTCTCGCTTTGGTGAGGATCGTTTTTTTTTGTTTTTTTGTTTTTTTTTGTTTTTGTGTCTGCATTTCCCGATGTATTGTGTTTTATGTTCTACAGCAATCGACATGAATGCTGGATTTGTAAAAATTATATTGACATTGCTGGATTGGAAGTAGCCATATTCGAAATTAGAAATATGAATTTTATATGAACCGATAAAAAGCGAAAGAATAATGTATACAGTACACGGAGTTGTTTTATGGATTAATTGCATACTACTTTTATATGTCAACACGGTTTGATAGCTAATTTTAAATAGTTCGTGTTATTTATATAAATTGAAAGACTAGTAGTGATGAAGTGAAGAATGGATATTTATTATTTAATACATTGTTAGTATAAAACTTGTGATAAACAATTGTGATATTTGACAAATATAGTGAACATATTAGAATTATTCGTTAAAATAAATGATTTAACATTGAGTAAGATTCAACCACATATAATATTACATTATAAGTTAATATTAAGAATTCAAAAAATACGCTTCTTTTGGGAATAATTTACACCATCTTTAGTGGCTCTCTTTCGAAACAAGGATATGGTTGTGAATTCTTAATATTAATTATATTGTATTATTCTTTTGGTTGATACCTTCTCGTTCCTTAACCATTATGGATTACCAGACTATATTAGTTGCCACCATGAAATTTATTAAATCAAACTGTAAACTAATAAAGGACATATATCAACCAAAAACGAAATTCTACAAATGCAAAGAAAAATAAATGTGATACTTTTTTTGTAAAATATGAAATCATACCATTTTTATTTTAAACATTTATTTTCAAACCGTTGCTCTGGATGATTGAACACAATTTAGGATTCTAGTTAAATTATTATAATTTATTATTATTATTATTATTATTATTATTATTATTATTATTATTTCTATTATTTCAACTTATTATTTCTATTATTATAGTTGTTTTATCAGCTATTATTGTTTCTGTGATTATTATTGTACCATTTTTTTACAATATACCCATTTGCTCGGGTTATACCCATTTGCAGTTTAATTTTTTTTAGCTTGTATGTGCTGTATCCGTACGGGGGAATAAACGGGCATGTGGTGTGCAGTGGTACTTGTGCATATTACGATGTTCGCAGTGACTGATGAGGGCGTAATTTTGGTGATTAACAAGAAGGCCGCAAACAACGGTAATAGTGATCGCCATGATGCAGATTAAAATGGCGGTGATTTTATTACTGATCGTAACGACTGTGGCAACGATAGCCTGAGAGAAGAGGCGCAGACACAAAGGGGGGATGCAACGTCGGCATTGATGATTCTGGTGACGATCGTGCTGATATTGGCAAAGGTTGAAATTATAGATACATGGCGGTGATTAGTAACTGTGTTGCAAGAGTAACACGCACGCACGCGGGCGACCCAGGCTGTGGCGATGACATCGGCCACGAGTTGATGGCAAAGGCGCTGTGTTGACGGTACATGCAGTCGCCAAGACAAGGAAAGCGAAGTGCTAAGATACCAGAGCGGAGTAGCTGGAAGTGACGATGGGCGTGATAATATTGTGAATGGTTGCTTATATTGTAAATAATTTTATGGGACCACTCTTCTTCCACCACTCCAAAATCGTACATTGAACGAAAAACTTTCCAATGTCATTTGCTCTCTGAGAAGATTTTTCGATTGCTTAGTTTATTCGAATTCTTATTCTTCCTACGATCTTGTTTTATAACTGTACGTTTGTAATAAATGAACTAATGTCTGTGGATTTATAAAATATTTGAATTATTGAAAGCATAATCAATGTTGATAGAAACAAATGTTCTTCAGCAAGCAGCACATTTTTGGATGAATTTTGGTATAGTATTTGCTTCAAATACCGAAAATGGTCACTAAGAGTATAACCATCTCATTCTACTCACATTTATGCACTTTACAACAAGCAAAATCTAACAGATGAATACTTCCTGATTTCCAAATGGAAACAAAACTTTCAACGAGAAAGCCTATTTTAACGACTGACATTCGAAAGTGCCATCTTCCTAAAGCAACCAAGATCCCACGCACCCATCCCACGCATCCCATCGCCGAAGGGGGAAGGGGGCAGGGAAGGGGGGCGATTTGCGCGTCTGAAGGGCGGCCCAACGCTGACGCTCTTTCTTCTGCACATCTCCCCCTCCCCGCAACCTTTCCTCGACCACGTCCTCCCTCCCTCCCTCCCTTGGCCTCCCGCCCCAACCTTCCTCGCGTCCACGCCTTCTGACGCCTGTTTATTTATGGGATTAGGACCGGTAGGGCGTGCCCTCGGCGAGCGACGTCGGGTCGGAAAGGGGCGGGGGGGGTGAATTTTTCAAACTCGGACAGCTGCTTCCGCTGCCGTGGGCGTTCAACATATTTCCAATAAATATTCACCATGCATAATATATAGAGCGTTTC